CTTATATGGTATAGATAGAGAGCAGAGCTAGAAATCACATTACATACTGGGACACTACAACTGTTGATTGTGAAAACACAGCAGCTGTTCTGCTTCATTCTTTAGTCAGGAAACAGTATAAGGCTGCAAGTAAACAGAACTTTGTGTCTGGATCCAAAACTCATTTTAGAAATGAGGCATATCTGGTCCTTGACCTGCAAGTCCATAAGAAGATGACATTTATCCCTTCTGTCTCAGGAAGTTAACTGACTTAATTTTCATTTGCCCCTTTAGTACCCCTGGGATGATCCTTTGGTGTCACAGAGAGCTGTCCTTTTTGGGAATTTTCTCATCTTCTCTTTTTTTTTTTTTGTTTTTTTTGTTTTTTCTTCCATACATAGACACATGCACACTCAAAATGTTTCTGCTATAGTTACCTGAGTCTTGTAGCTCAGGTTACATTTCTGTTACCAGAGAAACAGGAAAGATGAGAGTCTCAGCTTAGGGGACTTTGTGCAGCCTGCCAAAATTCAATGTACCAGCAACAGACCAGCATAGCAGGAGGAGTCAACAATGGCTGCAAGACTTGAGAGACTGTGTCACAGGTGAACATTACCTGTAAATCTTACAAGTGGTCCCAGCTGGAGGCCAGCTCTGAAATTTCAACTACTGGTCTCCTTTTGAGGCAGGACTTCATGGTTCCATATCACATTCAGCTTGGATTTCATATTTCTAGGAAAAGCAATGTGTCAAATTGCAGCATCCAGACATATTATTTTCTACTCCTCTGTATGAGCATTCAGGCTCTCTTCCAGATCTGAGATCCCCCTTAAAGAGTTCTTTGTGGCTCTTGAGATGACGGAGATATGTTTTTTATTTTACCAGAGTCCTCTAAGTCATCATTTGAATGCATTCTTAGATCCACCCGATAACCACAAATTTGTCACTGGCTACAGACATATTGGTGAGAAATACTGAACACATACATAGGTTCATATCTGTGTGAGGTCATTATATCTGATAGATTCTGTTTGAGGACTTCAGGCACCGGTGTAATCAGACTGTGAGATAATGCACAGGAAAAAGCAGCAGCACAATGACACAGCCAGACTGAACTGTGGCATTTCCTGGTGTTTAGTGGTTAATGTCAGCCTTTGTATTTGATTTCCCTTGGATTTGTTTGTTTGTGATTTTCTGTTGAGGATAACCTTTCAAAAGCCTCATCCCTTCTGCTTTGAAGCTATGCTGCTTAGACAATAATTACACAGACACCATGAAACGTTGTTGGTGTTTGACTCTACATTAGTCCAATTCTATCACTTTATTCTACTTCCCTGTGACCAATCTGCCTTTAAAGTAATAGATACATGAATTGTGAATAGCATCTTTCATTACTCCCTGGACTGGCTATTTTTTTTTTAGTTATATACTATCTAGTTTGTAATTGGTTTCAAGTTCAGGGAGTTTGGTTTATACTTTCAAAATAGAAGCTTTTTTTCACCCTTAATTACATGCTTTCCAAATGCTCAGAGCTTAATCAATTAAAATCAGTTTGCAAAAAAATATGGTGCCCTGCAGTCCAGGAAGGGCACCATATTCATTCCAATCTTTAATTTTAATTTTTCCACTTCCTGGAAATGAGGCACCTTTTGCACTATAAATTTGTGGGCTTTACTCTATCCAGTACCATTAGCTGAGCAAATGTTCCTAAATCCTTTCAAAGGCTATTGTCTTTCAATGGAAAACTTCATAATATTTTAGAAAGATTTTCTATTAATAGCAACTAATAGGGAGTATTTTTGGCTCTGTTTTGTTTTTCTTCTATAGATCATATTTTCACTTGCTGACTCTCCCCAGCTAAGAGGTAGATTTTCCCTCTTTGGGGAAGGGAATGGCTTTGCTTCCTGGCTGTCTGACCCCTTTCCCCTGAGAGTGTACTACTACTTGGAGATCCTCACCACCTCAGTGTGCCCTGTCCTGAGGGGTAGGAAGGGACAGCTTTGAGCACCCTAAAATCTGCAGACATTTGCATGTTTCATCGGGCAACAAGGTCTGTTCCATTTCATCTGGTCCTGAAACTTATATCACCTTGAGAGCAGCATAAGGAGTCAAAACAAAACAGAAAACAAAGAAAAATAACAAAAAAAAAAAAACCAAGCACACACTTCCCCCCCCCCCCAAAAAAAAAAAAGACGACAAAGGAGAGAGAAAAAAATTTTACATTCCTAAAAGTTCTTCTTAAGGCAAATACATTTGTACTATCAACTCTCAGACAGCTTGAGCACATCTCTTTTTCCTGTAACCAAACTGGATAAATACTAATAAAGATGATGTAACACTGCCATGGTTTTGCACATAAAGTCTTTGAGTTTGTTTTCTCACTTCTTCCTCTCAGAATAATCCTCCCTCAATCCATGGCCATGTCCAATGCTATGCAAAATGAAAGGTACTTACACCAGTTTAGGGGTATCTTGATTTGATTTGTGGATGAGTTTTGACACAAAAAACCTCTACAGAAAATGAAAGCATTGTACTGCAAAGGTTGCATTTATTTTGAAGCAAGCATTTGCAAGTTCACTAAGCCCTCTGAAAATGTGCCTTAATTACACAACAGCTGAACATTTGTAGACATTAGTGTTTCCTCATAAGTTATCTATCAAATAAACCATCTTTTCCCAGGTTTCACTTTCAATTCATGCAACCAAAGAATGCTTTAATCAATTCTGGTATTTTCCAGTCAGTTCTACAGCACAACAAAACAATGAATTATCAATATTTGGATGAATTCTCAAATATTCTGGTACTAAATTCTGTGTTCAAAGTTACTTAACCACTTACCATACTTGTTAAAATTAAAAACTAACTGTAAATAACATAAACCAGGGGACATACCACTATTATACTTCCATGAAAGATGAACAATGCATAGTTAGATCCAGCTGAATGAATCAAGACAAGAGGGGGGGAAAAAATATTTCTGAGGAGTGGAAGCATTTCATCTGCTCTTGCAAATTATTATATGCTTGCATGAGATCTGTCATCCCAAATTTTCTCCATGTGAAAAGTCCAGAAATATAAAAGGCAATGCAATGTATGGATCATGTTACCTTTTGTTTAGGGGCATTGGTCCTGAATCCACTTCCATCTGACCTGATAAACAAATCCCCTAGAAATAAATCCACAAAAAACCTTGTTCCCTATACCAGCATTCAGAAAGGAGGCTTTAAGAGAGAAAATGCTGCTTTTAAGACTAGTATCAGTTAATCAAGGACTTGTTGAAAATTTGATTTAAAAGGAGGTGATATTTTCAATTGGCTGACTTGGTAAGTTTGATCACGTAATTTTTCTGCATGTGTGGGTGTATTTCTGCACTTTTCTTAACAGTGTATTTTCTTTACAAATATGTTACTGCTGAGAGATTCAACTCATGAAAGTAACATAGAAATACCCAGAAAGAAATACGTAAATTTTTGCTTCTTTTAAAAAAAGCTTGCTAAACTGAAAAGTAAAAAATGGTCCTATTTTTAATATAAGGCTTCCATTAAAAGATGTCTTTAAACTTTTCTACTTCTGGAACAGATCACTATTCACATGAGTATCTGGAAACTGCATGCCAAGTTGCAAAATTCTGCGTGGAGAAGAGAGGGTTACTAAAAAATTAATAAAAATAATTTATGGAAAAGCAATAAGAATGCCTGGCCAAACAACAATCAGTGAGAAGTGATTACATCACAAAATAAAAGTCTTGAAATATTAGAAAGCAATAACAGCAAATCTCAGAGCAATGGTATGCAATATCTTCATTCAAAAGGGGAAAATAGTATCACTCTGCAATATATTAAATGAGATTTTTAATAAGCATATATTTTAATTAGTTACTTCCCATTAAAGAGAAATTAATAGATACTAATATATTTGTGGCTATTCTCTACAGTTGTGAAAGATGCCGTTTCTACCATAAAGATATGCTTTTCTTTCTGTAATATTCTCAATTATCATCTTCTGAAGGTTTTTGGAAAAGCAATACTTTGAACTGGCAAACTTGATAAATTAACTTCTTTCTAATCACTTTGTAAATCAATCTGATGGAATTATATAATTAGATTTTTAAAAGATATTCAATGTGTGATATTCAATAATTCAAGAAAGAAGTCAACATAGGATTGGATAAACTAATTCTAATAAATGAGAGTTCCCCAAATAAGCTCACAATCATGAACAGATTTAAGATTCCTCTTAGCAAAGAAGCTAAATTAAAGAGGTTGAATTCATAATCTTCATTATTACTTGAAATGTCAGTCCAGTTGTAGAGAGACTAACATCAAAATATAATAAAAGCTTCATAAATAAAAGAACATAAGATTATTTACTGATTAATCAACCGATAAGTTATTAATATAAATAATTTTCTTCATTATTTGATTGCAACATATACATAATGTTTACTACAAAATACCTTTAGGCTGAAAAGAAAGCAAGAGTGATGAGACATACCTTACCTAACTGTTAAACTTATATTTTCTTAAGACTAGCAATCTTTTCTTTAGCAAGAAATTAGTATTTGTATACAAAGAATTTTGCAACAAGTCCTGAGAACAAGTGACTTCATTTTTATCCCACGTACAGCAGTGCTACAATCTCATTTATCGATGGGGGAGTGGCAACCAGAAATCAGGCGGCTGCAGTACCAGATGAGCAGAGCTTCTAAACACAGTTGCTCTTTACCATCCAATTAATTCTACTGACTGATGCTGACACTGCTGGCACTCTCATAGTTAGCAGCTGTTTTAACTGCTTGCCAAAATTGGGTCCTGAACCTGTTGAAATCTGCATTTAAGCAGGATTCAATGCAAAGGTAATTGTTTCCGTACAGGTGCATGTATATGCCTTGTTTTGATTGGATATTTTTTCCATTTGCTTATTTTCCCACTTGAAAATTCATATGGCAAGTTTGTAAGAACTCTTTCTGATCATGTTTCCTAGGTACGCATAGATATAAATCTTCATGCTGCAAATTCAGAATGCAACAACCAAGCTCTGATTATTCTCCAGACCTGGTCAAAGAAACCTGCACCAGTGTGGAACCTCCAGACAGAGAAGCTGATCTCCATAAGGAAAATCCTGCTTTGTCTAAAAGCAGCAGCCCAGAAGATGTCTTCAGTTCCTCTGAAAAGCAGGCAGTACCAGTTTGTGTGGACACCACCTTGCCTCCAGGGGACTACATTCTCAGACAAGGTTACACAGAGCCTTCACTTCTGAGGCTTCCTACAGAGGAGTGCATTGGGTTCCACCATGCGCCTTTCCAGTTCGACCGTCATGCTCGCGCCAGAATTTCCACTTCTCCAACTTTAAGGCGTCTAAGGATGGCCTCTGCCTCACAAGCACTGTCATTTCAGGACTGTTCTGACACAGCTCAGCTGGGGAATCAGAAGGAATACACTGGCTCTCTCCATCACATTTGTAAGAGCCCACCTCGGTGCATTACAGTTTCTTCACTGTCACTGCCTTCCTGTGTCCATGCAAAATTATTGTCATCCAAAGCCAAGTCTGAGAGAACTGTAGCAGCTCCAGAGTCTGACCTACCCAGGTCAAAGCTTCCAAGCCAAGAGGATCCTCTCAGCAATGGCAGTCCCAATGAGCCACCCAGAAACTCTTGGAGAGGCAACTCTGCTACATTTCCTACAAGACTCCCCCGCCCAAGCCCTACACTTTGGGTAGGTGTCCAGGTAAGAGGAAGAGGAGGATGCAACCTCTTTTTCCATCTTTCATTTTCAGTGTTGGTACATCATGGGCCAGTGCACAAATAAAACTGCAGTTCTTAACCTGAACTGCAAGTTGGACTATGATCCTTTAATACAGCAGACCAACTTCTACACTTAATGGGAAAGGAGATTTTTCTTCTCAAATCAGCAATAGACATCAGTTCCGGCCTTGTTCCTTGGTGACCAGGTTAGCTTAGTCCACTCCTGTACATGGCCACCCTTTCCCACCTCTGTCCATTCACCAGTACAACTGTTGGTGGGGATATGGAAGAGCAAGATGAAGTAATTTATCCTGTTTAGGGCTGCATTTTAGAAGACTATTTTCTTTCAACCCACTCTTTAACCCTTCAGCAGTATTATTCCTAAAACAGGGAAGTTCTCTATTCTGTTTTGCTGAAAGGCTTTATTATGGTTAACCATAATAAAACCAAGAGTCAAGTTGGTTGAGTCAAATTTAAGGTCTGCTACTACCAAAGGAAGAGGTACCATTCCCTTTATTTATTTCCACTTACCTAGCTCACTGGCAATTCTTCCTTTTTATGTCCAGCTCCATAAACAAAGAAGCAATTGTGCAATCTCTTCTGAAAAGAAAGAAACCTTGGTCCAGTGAGCGTCAGCATCAGTTAAGAGAAATAAGCAAGGGAGGAGCAAACCCTGCATCTTTCAAGGGCAGGAAATTCAGCTCTCCACAAGGACAAAAGGAGAGGCTTTTTGTACAAGCTAGGTTTGCTACCAGATCTGCTCTCAAAGACCTCCCACTGTTAACGGCAGAGGCGGTGGAATTCACACACACATTTGACCCTGTCCTTATGCAAACTGCCTACGCACATATTTACTGAGGGTGGATGGTGGCAAATAGGTGTAGAGTTCTTCACTAACTGGTTAGCTTTGCACTACAAACCAAAAGCTATTTTCCTCCTCCCTTCAAATATAGAAAACATTCTGGATATCAAATGAGTTCTCCTTGTTCCTCAACTGTGAAATTAATTAGCCTATGCCCAAGCCTATTACACTATTATTAGCACACTTCCCTTTACAAAGGAGTTCCTTTTTCACAAAAAATCAGATTGCTTGCTTGCTTTCTGACCAAGTAACTAAGAATATCTCACTTTCTTTCAGGAGAGTGGACTGTCCATGCAAAGGTATGCACATACTTATTTTATCTGATTCTAAGCTTGACTCTCCTACATTTTTAATGAATTTGCTTCACTCCAAGACAAAACCAGACATTGAGTCATGTACGTATAACTCAACCTTAATTTGTAGATTTGCTATGTGAAATGCCTGTCACCAGCTCACTAAACTTTTTAATGAGATTTTCTTTCAAAGGTGGCCCTCTCCCTAGCACATTTAGCTACATTTCACGCAATATTTCATCCGGATCATTGGGGAGCTTTGCACTAGGAACTAAATGCCAAAAGGTCCGGTTGTTTGGCTTAGCAGTGCCAAATTTCAGCTTGAAGAATGTGAAATATCTCATAATCTTGAATGACATTATTCAGATGTTTGTGGAAGGGAAAAGGGAGCAAAGGAGCTAGCAGAACAGCTCAAAATTGTTCTTATACATGAGCAAAGAAGGCCTAGGACTCCTACTGGAGAGTGGGATTGTTAATCCTACAGACTAAGGGTACATAGAATACATGGATTTTATACATTAGTGCAGACAAGAGTGTTGCATACCATAGACCTGTGCAGTGAATTGTGTGAAGGCCTTCGAAACAATTATCAGAAAGTAAAAGTTCTGTTAGAAATTATTTGGATAAAGATATGTTTCTTTCTTTAAGATGTTCAAATGTTTACAGAAGGGAAGTTTTCTTTTCTCACCACACAACAAGGAAGCCAGAGATAGTACCTCCATTAATAACCACCCCTTTCTCATTGATGGAGTAGTGCTCACTTTACTGCATGGTCCCCTTAAGGATGTTTGTGACTGGGTGGTTTGGAGCAGACTGATGATACAGTCTAGGAGTACTTAACACAACGCAGCTCCCTACATGAGATTCAAGAGAAGTGTGCATGCATTTGAAATTACATGTTCATTGTAGAAGAGGCCTCCTAGATGTTCTGAACTGTTGCAATTTCCAACCCACTCTCTAGCATTTTGAAATTACAATGGAGTTGGAGCAAGCAGGGGAGGGAAAGATCTTTTTATCTGGATGTGAAAACAAGAGATCTGTACCTTTTGTGGGAAGAGTCTGCTCTGATCCAACTCAAAAGAGGAATACATAAACATAACTCACTGTCAGTATGAAGATTTGCATGATGTGCAACAAACTTCAGGGGAGAAATTGAAGATACTGAATGCAGACAGTTTAACAGGAGAACACCTAACATTTAGTGTACATACCTTCTCTTGGTGCTGCTTGCCTATAGTGGCTTCAAGAGGGAAGTAACTATATGCCAGCTAGGGTATTGACTTTGGATTTCTATCTAGACACCTTTGAAAATCAAGAAAACACAACCCAAGGAAACAATCCAAGATTTTTTCCATAGGCACCAGCAGGAAAGATTGTCAAAAGGTGGGTGGGATTATGAATTTTATTAATTCTATCTAGATACATATGTGCAAAAATATATTAAAAAATGCATCTGTTTCTGCTTTAAACATTTTTTGTCAAATTTAATTTGGTCCAAGGTCTAGGTTAAACCTGTATTCAGCTCCTCCTTTATTGAGATTAGTCTAACTCCTTAACAGCTAATCCCTTCTTATCACAGCCAGCAAAAACTGTTGACATGTCAGATTATTCTCTCCATCTAGAAGCACATTAGGACATCTGGCAACCCTTCTCCAAGACAGACTTACATACTGTCCTGGGTAAAATCATACCTCTGTCCTTCGGTTTTAATGAACATCTCTTCTCCCCTCTCCCAAGCTGTACTTTCAAAAAACTTCCTTAATGCACTCATACTCATTTTGAACAGCCAGGAATGCCAGCACATCCATGTCACATGGCAATTTGCTGAACTGATTATGTTTATGAAGAACCATCCAAAATAAATAACCAAAAAGGGCAAGAGGGGTAGCACAGAGGTATATGTGGCAACAGAGAAGGTGAGATGCTAAACCAGCATTGTCATGCAAGAAAACATTGGTAAAAAAAAAACCCAGGTTTACTCTGATCTCCTTTTCTCCTTGCACCATTCAGCATTATCAGAGGCTGGGTGGAAAACTGCATCTCACTATTTCCTACAGCAAATCAGCTGATGAAGAGCCTTCACAGTAACTGCCAAGACAGATCATACTCAATGCCTTGAAGGAGCTGGGCTCATCTATCTTGAAGTATTCCCAGTCCTCTTTTAATGTTTGACACAGCTGTAAAGTGTCACAGAATCACAGAGTGGGTAAGGTTGGGAAGGACCATAGTGGCTTGTCTGTTACAAGCTCTCTGCTCAAGCAGGGTCATCCTAGAGCCCATTGCACAGGATGGAGTCCATTACGCTAAACCTAACTCCTTATGCAATCATATAAACATTTTATTCTTGACAATAGGCCATTTTCCATGCTAACTTTTTGAATCAGGGAGTCCAAATACCCTCCTTGAGTGGCTAGCACTTCAGTAATTTAATTTCTCCAGACAAAAAAACAACAGAAGCATCTGATGTATTCAATATGTCTACAGGCATCAGGCCAGGAAACCACAGATACCTGTGCTTCCATCTCTGAAACATGAGTATATAATTTAGACATGTAAGCCTTTAACCAGCCCAGGCTCACCAGATTGCAAAGGTATACTGTAGACAGAGACCCCAGTGATCTTGCCATGCCCCCACATTTCACATTGTGAACTTTCATGAATGGTCTTCACATTTCACATGAAGAGCTTGTTTAGCCATATGTATGCCTGAAGTTTAAAGCCTTTTTGATCTGGTAAATAATATCATTTGACTCAGTTACAGCGATTCTGTGCTTCAATTATTAGCCTTCATAAGCCACTAGCCTGCAGCTTCAAATATATTGTGAAAATAGAAGTAGGCTAGATGCTTTAAAATTCAACAATATACTGGGAAAATCTTACTGTTAAGCCAAGCTTAAATAAATCTCCTGAATTTCCTAGTGCAGTAATAACACCTTTGAGGATTATCCTTGTACTATATTGCAGCACCTGACTTGTAGGATAGCCCAGCTGCCCAAGAGATTGTGTTATGTAATAACTAGAGGTTTCAGTGGCATCTTACTACAATCATTACCAGCACTGAAAACTTGCATTGGGTAGCACTCAGTGCATGTCTCAGGAGGGTACTCCTGAGAGGAACTCCTCTCCCTTGCACTGGTATGGGCTTGCAGACAGCCAAGAAACAGACCCCCCCATCCATTAAAGCTCTCAAACCACATACTGAGAGATCAATTTCATGAGAAACCACAGAGTTTCATTGTAAACCCTAAAGCCAAATAAATAGATCCTATGTTCTCCATTCAGTAGAACTAGCAGGAAAACTTTCAAAGAACTCCTGCATTGCACATTGTAAGCTCCTCAAGACAGAGTTTTTAAGCCCTGATATGTCCGTGGTTCAAGTGTTAATGTTGCCCTCCTGATAGCCTACAGACCTTTCTCTTGTTAGGAGCAGCTTTCATCTAGACCATTCAATTGTTTAGCTAAGCAAGCAATGTCACTGTCAGGTCATAAAAAAGGCACAATCTCCATGTCTTACTATACATATCAAATCCCAGTTCTCTACCTCAGAGCTCATCTGTCAGCTGATAAGCTGTCAAGTAACTATTCATGCACTTAAAAGAAAAAATATACCTGCCAGGTTTCACACCAAGGGTGGCAAATGGCTAGATATTCACAGTAAGATAGCTGCCTAGACAAAAAAAAGATCTCGGTAAGAATCATGCTTAACTGACCAAAAATACCATGCACAATAAGTGGTGACTGAAAAATAGAATTTTTATATATATACATGTATTTTGTGCCTCCTCCCTCAGCTACTGAATTACTGACCCTTTGAGCCCTAATGCAGTATTCATCTATCAGTCAATTGAAGGCAACAGCAGCTGCAGACAGCAGTCCCTCTGCAGCATTTACTAAAACAATTCATAAGGTATCAGTGTGAGTTATCAGCAAAATACAAAAATGTTTTTAATATGAACCAACAGTTTCTGTATGTGAATGCAAGAAGCCTCTGGCACAAACACACTGCTGGATACAGAATGTCTGTGTCACTTTTCTTACTCGACCTAGATCCTGGAAAATGTTTTCCATTAGGAACAACAATAGTTGGAAAGAGACATTTGTTTTCAATCAGTAGGACCACTGAGTCATATTACATTCAAAATATTTGAAATAGCAGGAAAAAATGCCAAAAATACTTAGAAAGAAAATAGAACAAACTATCAAAAGGTTAAATGATTTTATTTAAAACCTAACATTTTAACTGTTTCACTAACATGCTGTCTTTTCTTGAAATCACCTGCATTACAGGAAGGTTAAAAGTAACAAGTCACATGTGAGCTAAAAACAGTATATAATTGCTCCTTTAAATTCCACTGCCAAAACACAGATTCTAAAATCCCCGCTCACTTTTTCTCTAACCTCAGAAAAAAACAGGAATTTTCAATATTTACATGCTCTTATTATCTACTTATTATCTGAGGCAAGGCATGACCATAAGAACCTTGATCTCAGCAGCAATGTGGAGTTGGAAAGACAATTAGGTATTTGCTGTCAATCACTGAAATTCTCTACTCGTTGTCCTTTTACCACATTATATCGCAGCTCCTGTCATTTGGTTTTTTAGCTGATTGCCCCCATATCAGCAAGGAGCCCTCCAGAAGCTTCCCCTGCAGCCTCAAGCGGACAGAGATGACGTGTGTTGTTGTTGTTGTTGCGTCCCACAGATCAGCGGAGCGCAGGCGTAGCTCCCTGGTGGTGAGTCTGCCGGGACTCGAGGTGTTCCCTGGAGACCTCCTGGTGTCAGACAGTGCCATGGACTACCTGCCCTGCTCATCCTTCCTGCTCAGTGCAGGTCAGACACAGAGTGGGCTTTGCTCCTCTGAGCCCAGCAAAAGCTGGGACTGGAACATGAGGGATGGGAGGGAGGATGGATACAATGAGAAGGTGACAGCCTTTGTGGGGGATCCCACACCAAAGTGACTGCAATGCCAATTCTGAAATTACCCCTTCCCCCCCACCCCCCCCC